CACTTCGTGATACATGTAAATCATTTCCGATTTATATGTTCGTTTCCCGTGATTTATAATTTACTATTTTACAGTATAAATAGGCTTGGTTTTAGACCAAGTCAAAATCATGTTCATAACAATCTTTTAATTATTAATCTAATAATTAATACTTCCTAACACATTGTAATAATAATATTATTATCGCTAATAAAACACATAACATATTTTACCCTAAATAGTAATCTCTAATTAATTTAATAAACCACCAAAGGGAAACCTTTGCTGCCCATAGCAGTTAACCCATATCTTAACTACCAAGAGACATCTCAAAGGGACGCCTTTGGGATATAATTGTATATATAGAACCTAGGGACCCTTTTATCTGAAAAGATAAAAGTCATATTTTTATTAATTATTGACTAAGTCAGTGAGTAGGCTGTGTGTCATATATATATAAATAGTGGAAATTGACCGTAAGTCAGCGAGTAGGCTGTGTGTCAAACAATAGAATCAACTGTAAGTCAGCGAGGAGGCTGTGTGTTGAGCTATAAATAACCTATTAATTGGGAAACTCGGATTGCACGCTCGCAATATAGTAAAGCAAACATCATAATTAACTGTTATCTTGGGTGCTTTCAGCTTTAATTTCTTCTATTTCTTTTATAAAATTATTAATCTTATCAGTGGTATAATACTTACTCTCAGGATTATAATTACAGCACTTTAATTCATTGTATTTGGTGATAATGGGCCTTCTCCAATCTGGTACCTTTTCTCCTTTATTTTAGCATATTTCCCAGACAAAATAGCTTTAGCTTGGGCTTCTTTGGAGTACATTTCTTTGGTGTTTCCACATACTTGATTTCTTCTCTGACCTCTACTAGATCACCTGCTTTGAAAGGGTTCCTACTGTCATTGAGGGATTTTGGTACATTGCTAATATAGCTAAAAGTTTGAGTAATATATTCAAACATTTTTGTTATATTATATATAGAATGCAGAAATGTTTAATTCAAAAATTTTATAAATTTATTAGTTTTCTTGTTTTGGTATTAACTGCTCTGCTTTGCTATGCAGATTGTTTTTACTTTGTTCTCTGCTTAATGACCCATTTTGAAAATTTGATGTGGCAAAGGTTGCTTGCCAAAACTCCTCCAGAAATCAATCAGCAGGGTTTTGGCAGGTTACACATTAATTGTTTATTAGAGTTTTGGCAGAGTTTCGCATTTTGAGGTTTCACCATTTTGGCATAGTTTCAACAGGATTTTTGATAAGATTTAATATAGTTTTGCCATAGTTTCAGCAATTACTAAGGAGGTTTCGCCCACAACCTTAGTCAAAACTGATAAGAAATTTGTCTCTGGAACATCTTGTGTATATAAACTGGATAAAAATGGGGTAAATTATCTCAGAAAAATAGAATTTTGTCCCAGAAACCTCATAATTATACAACATAAAAACGTTAAACAATGTGTATAAATGTTGAATATAAAAATACAAATAAAATGATAAATAAAATAATACTAAATTATGATAAGTATAGATGCTGGCCGCAATTCTTGGTGATGGTTGCAACCATATTTGCAACATATAAAAATGGTTTGCAACACCTGGTTGCAACCACCTTTGCAACCACTTTGGTTTCCTTTTTTGGATTGCAACATGGAACACTAATGATAAGAGGCATGGTGATAGGTCATTTCAATCAGGTTAAACTAGTGATGTTAGCCAGTCAAGGTTTTTATACTAGCTAACATCACTAGGTTAAACTACAATGAGGGTTTGCTTTAATTTAAAATAGATAGCATGTAATGGTTTAATTATGCAGTTCCTTATTATTATTCCAATAATCAGATGAATAAAATTTATTCATAAATTTAAATATCTAAATTTATTTGATTAGAATCTATAAAAAAATAATATTAATGTTAATATTGATATTGAATTTTAAATTAATAATCAAACAATTACCATTATTATTGCTATTTAAATTCATTTGATTAAAATCTATAAATAAAAGTAATATTAATATTGATATTGAATTTTTAAAATTAATAATCAAATAATTGAAATAATTACAATTATTAATACAATCTAAATCAATTTGATTAGATTCTATAAATATGTTAATTTATAATATAATAAAAATAATGATAATGTTAGTATTGATATTGAATTTTAAAATCAATAATCAAATAATTGATGATAATTACCATTATTATTACTAATAATTGTAACTTTATTGGAGTTTACAGGTTGAGGAAGA